CACCACCCCACCTACCTTCCCCAGCCCCACCCCTCCTCTCTCTCTCTGTTTCAGAGTCCCCTACCCCTCCCCCATTTCTGAAGAAGGGTCCCGACCCGAAACGTCAGCTTTCCTGCTCCTCTGATGCTGCCTGGCCTGCTGTGTTCCTCCAGCTCCACACTGTGTTATTTTAAACAGCCAGGTAGGTAATGTAGCTGAAACACTGTCTTTTTCTAAAAGGATGCAAATTAATTGTTCAGTTATTAACATTGTGTTGATCACTTGCTGGGAGTTTATTATTTGGTGTTACTGTATTAAGAATTTGAATACTATTGTTTGGAGCATTCTATGCTTTGAAGTCATTGTCATACTCTAATTCGTAACTGGAATCCAGTTTTTTTTTTACTATGCACGGGACGTGGGTGTCGCTGTCTGGGCCAGTCTTTATTGCCCATCCTGAGTTGTCCAGAGGTAGTTAAGAATCAACCACATTGCTGTGGGTCTGGAGTCACATGAAGATCAGTCTGGTTAAGGGTAGTTGCCTTCCCTAAAGGACACTAGTGAACTGGACTGGTTTTTCCTGATAATTGAAATGGTCATCATTAGACTCTTAAATTCAGATTTTTATTGAAGTTAGATTCCACAATCTGCCATGACAAGATTTACACCTGGGTCCCCCTGTGTCTCTGGATTAGTAGTCTAGTAACAAAGCCACTGGGCCAGTAAATGGTGATCCAAAGTGTCATCAGTGCCAGAACAGGCAAAAGACATCTGTGTCTCACTGCTGGCAGATGGAAACCCCGAAGTGTTGCTGGTTGTCGTGATTCAAAGTATCTTTGAAATCTGATCACCAATTTGTCAAGCTTCTGTGGACAGTGACAGTGCCTCATGGTCCTGGACCTAAACCAAGTTATGCTCAGGCTTCTGCAAGGGTTCTCCTCTTTGAAGCCATCTCCACAAGCATGCAAGCAAAGCTCCTGTAAATCCACTTCAAAGAATTAGGCACAATGTTTTCTCCACTGCCAACTAATCAAAGTCTGAGGAAGGACAAAGAAAATGCTTCAAAGATACACTGGAACTCTCCCTGAAGCATGATTAGGATGAGTCAGCTACCAAGCAGTCAAAATGAGCAACCACTTGATGATGAGTCTGCCTCATGTTCCTGCTTAGTGATGCTGGCTGACAATGAAAGAAAAAGAAGCACATCCTATAATAACCAAAGCACAATACTGTGCATGCTGGAAATCTGAAACAAGGAGACAGAATGCTGGAGAAACTCAGCATCTGTTGAGAGAGAAACAGAGTTAAGGTTTTCGATCCAGTGTGACTTCTTCAGTTCTGAAGAAGGAATCCTTATTGATGGGAACCCACTCTCCCAGATTTGGGACTGCCCAGACAAAATTCTACCCTTTATGTTTAGGAGATTGGGAGGGCATTATGGAAATAGTTTGGGCCAGCCAAGTCAAAAGAGCAGATTGGCTATTGAGCCAAAAGCTGCAATGTAAAGCAAGATCACAGCATCATTGCATCTGGAGTAATTCCAAGAGTTTCTGCACCCATACTACCAGATCCAACCTTCAACTTCTCTGATCATCGAGCCACGCCTTAAGTCCAACAACATTCTTAAAATATAGAATATCCTTTTATTGTCACACATGCCCCAGTGTAGGAGTACAGTGAAAAGCTTTTACAATGTCTGCCTTCTTACGGCAACATTTAGGTACAAGGACAAGGTACAATCCTTGGATACAGCAATGGAATAAAGTAGTTGTATTACTTAAGAGTCGAAAAACAAGTTAAAAATAGGATTCAGAGATAGTAGGAACTGCTGATGCTGGAGAATCTGAGATAACAAGGTGTAGAGCTAGAGGAACACAGCAGGCCAAGCAGGCCATTTCTGAAGAAGGGTCTAGACCCGAAACGTCAGCCTTCCTGCTCCTCTGATGCTGCTTGGCCTGCTGTGTTCATTCAGTTCTACACCTTGTTATCTCAGATTCTCCAGCATCTGCAGTTCCTGCTATCTCTGAACAAGGGTCTGGGCCCAAAACATCAGCCTTCCTGCTCCTCTGATGCTGCCTGGCCTGCTGTGTTCATCCAGCTCTACACCTTGTTATCTAAAAATAGGATTAAAGGGTTGACATTACAGTAAGGTAGGAAATTTCAAACCGACATTACAGTGCAGCAGCTCAGCACAGGGCCTCTGCACATGGCCTGACCACCAGCACCAGACCCCGTCTGCTCTATACCAGCACTCAGCTGCTCCAAGGTATGTGCCAGTTTCGCCCCCCCGCCCGCCAGTCTCCACCCAGGACTCTCTGCTTGCGTGCTACAAGGGGGCTGCTTATCTGCGCTGCTCTGGGGCTCACAGCCCACACACTGTACCAGGACTCGGTGCTGCCAGTGTTCCGGGGCTCGCTGTTTCGGAGTCTTGCTGCCAGCACCTGCTGCTGCACCAGTATTCGCCTCCGGTGCTGAGGAGAGAGAAGGAAAAAAGGAAAAGGGAAGAAAAAGAACAGGCAAAGCAGAGAAGCTCCGACAGGAGCATCCTAATCTTGCTTCCCAATGCAAATATGCTTCCCATGACCTTGAATTTGCAATGATGTGTTTGTAATCTAATTGCATTAACTCCATGACACACACTGACTGTCTGAAACAGATTATTGTGCTTGTTCTTGAAGTTTATTCAGCTGCACAACTAAACTTGAGTTTCTCTCTCTGCGAAAGCCATGGATTCCTCTGGCTACAGCAGGTGTCCTGATGATGATGTCTTTGTGTACCTTGCGAAGAATTATTCTTATAGCCATGGATTCATGTTTAATGGAGACGAATGTATAAGCAGCCCATATTTCAAGGATGGAATTACCAATGGAGCTCACTGGTATTATTTTTCAGGTAAACCTTGTAGCTAATTATTTATAAATCACATTGTGAATTATCTCTATTTCCTACCCCAGAATTAGTGCAAAGAACAATGATGGAGAATTATAAAATGCAGGTTAATCATTTGCGTATTATTGGGGGGACAAAAAGTCAAAATTCATGTCTTTTTTCAATACCTCAACTGCCTCTTGGAGATTACTCTCAAATAAATTTAGTTTTGTAGTCCAGTACAGCCTTGTTCAACTCTATGGGATGTAAAGCCAATGTTGGTGATTTTTGTTTTAACTATTAAACAGGTGTAATAAATTTAGTTTTGCAAAGGCTCAAATGCAATTTGAGTGTGTATTGAGTCTGCTGCTAAACTGGTTTCCAGAACGCCCTCGACCATATCTCCCACATTTCCGGCGACTCATCCCTCACACCCCCTCCCCGCAATAACAACCAAAACAGAATTCCCCTCATCCTCACGTACCGCCCCACCAACCTCCGGATCCAACGCATCATCTTCGACACTTCCGCCATCTGCAATCCGACCCCACTACCAAAGACATTTTTCCCTCCCCACCCTTATCTGCTTTCCGGAGGGACCACTCTCTCCGTGACTCCCTTGTCCGCTCCACACTCCCCTCCAGCCCCACCACACCCGGCACTTTTCCCTGCAACCGCAGGAAGTGCTACACCTGCCCCTACACCTCCCCCCTCTCCCCCATCCCAGGCCCCAAGAAGACTTTCCACATCAAGCAGATGTTCACCTGCACATCTGCTAATGTGGTATACTGTATCCGCTGTACCCGTTGTGGCCTCCTCTACATCGGGGAAACCAAGCGGAGACTTGGGGACCGCTTTGCAGAACACCTACGCTCGGTTCGCATTAAACAACTGCACCTCCCAGTCGCGAACCATTTCAATTCCCCTCCCATTCCGCAGACGACATGTCCATCCTGGGCCTCCTGCAGTGCCACTACGTTGCTACCCGAAGGTTGCAGGAACAGCAACTCATATTCCGCTTGGGAACCCTGCAGCCCAATGGTATCAATGTGGATTTCACAAGCTTCAAAATCTCCCCTCCCCATACCGCATCCCAAAAGCAGCTCAGCTCGTCCCCGCCTCTCTAACCTGTCCTTCCTCCCACCTATCCCCTCCTCCCACCTCAAGCCCCACCCCTATCTCCTACCTACTAGCCTCATCCCACCCCCTTGACCTGTCCGTCCTCCCTGGACGGACCTATCCCCTCCCTAACTCCCACCTACACTCACCTTTACTGGCTCCATCCCTCCCTCTTTGACCCGTCTCCTCTCCACCTATCTTCTTCTCTATCCATCTTCTATCTGTCTCCCCCTCTCTCCCTATTTATTTCAGAACCCCCTTCCCCTCCCCCATTTCTGAAGAAGGGTCTGGGCCCAAAACGTCAGCCTTCCTGCTCCTCTGATGCTGTGTTCATCCAGCTCTACACCTTGTTATCTCTGGTTTCCAGACTCATTCGGGAAACTCATCTGCCCAGAGCAAAGCAAGTGTTGCCCAGGGCAAGAAACAACCTAACCAGGGATCATTGGAGGCTGTGACTAGATTGAAGCGTTTTGTTTCCCCTTATTTTCCTCCTGATGACTGTCTGGAAAGAGTAGGATCCTCCTCCAGCTTCATGGTGCTGCTCTGGGCCCATGCCATGCTCCAGCATACATATCCATCACATTTTAATGACGTGGGGAACAAAATAACTTCCCATTGAATCCTCAGACACAGTGCAGCCATAACAACTATAACAACCATAACAACAGCCATAATAACAAGGCATTTCTATAGCCCCTTTTTACGTTATTGGAAGTCAGTTCATTCTACTGCCTAACTGGCTTGAGTGTGGTGCAGAATAGCACTGTAAGGAAAGAAGATTCCAGGGAATGAAGAATAATGTCAAACTGAAAGACATGGACATTAATTCATGTGACCTTTGACTGAATCCAGAAAGTGAGTGTCCAGTGAAGGTTCCTCCCTGTAGGCATTCAAGTTCAGTTGGGTCTAGTTGCTGAAGATATACAATTCCTTTTAAAATGGATGAAGGCGCAGTGAATTAATGTTCACCGTCTACCCTTGCAGCTCTTGACACATTCTCTCATGCCATTCTCCTTCAACACCTCTGGATGTTCTCACCCATGAAATACAAGTGGGTTGAACATAGAACAGTACAGCACAGTACAGGCCCTTCGGCCCACGATGTTGTGCTGAACTTTTACCCTAATCCTCAGGTCTATCTAACCTCCATCCCTACCTTATACTATCATCCATATGCCTATCTAATAGCCGCTTAAATGCCCCTAATGAGGCCGACTCCACTACCCTCTCCGGCAATGCATTCCACGCTCCTACCACTCTCTGAGTAAAGAACCTACCTCTGATGTCTCTCCTATATCTACCTCCACTCACTTTAAAACTACGCCCCCTCGTAATAGCTACCTCCACCCTAGGAAAAAGTCTCTGGCTGTCCACTCTAGCTATACCTCTGATCATGCAGATACATCAAGTAATTAGGAGTTGCACATAGAATGTTGACTTTTATTACAAGGTGCGTGGACATTTAAGTAGGAGAATCTTGCTATAATTGTGCAAGGCATTTGGTGAGACCACCGGTGTACTGTGTACAGAACTGGTTCCTGTATTTAAGGAGGGATTTATTTCCATTGGAGGCAGTTAAGAGAATGCTCATTAGTGGGTTTCCGATATGAAGGAGTTTTTTTTTCAAATGAGGAAAGATTGGGCTGATATGTAGTGGATTACAGAAGAATGAGACATTTTTAAAGATCTAAGCTGAGTGGATGTTTCCCTTGGGGGGGTAGGAGTGAATTCTAAAATGAGGGGACTGTAATTCAAGAATAACAGGCTGCACACCTAAGACAAGACGAGGAGGAATTTCCTTTGAAATGCTGTATTTCAGGCAGCAACGGAGACAAAGTCATTGAATATATTCAAGGCTGAGATAGACAGATTTTTGAACTATATTCTAGGATTATGGGAACAGGCAGTAAAGTGGAAGTAAGGCCAAGATCAGATTTTCCCAACAGTTCCATCAAATCCAATGCTTTTGTATGTAGTTTAATAATCAATATTATTGAGTGCTGTTTCATTGCTTTCATATCCCTGTGGTGACCAAGACTGGAAAACCATACAGGTTTCAACAGACATTCACAGAGCAGGCTCAAGGTTTATAGAGGATCATGAGGATAAGTAGTCCTTGAGAAATTCGATTTTATCAACTGTAGGAATGGGAGGAGGAGGAATCACAACTGAATCTAGACTTGTCAACAGCTGGAGGATTGGAATAGTGATCAGCGGCAGGAATTCTGGCTAGACTTCCCCTCCTTAACTTAGAGCATTTTACCATTTCACCAATTTTACCATTGGCTAAGGTTAGCTAGCTCAGCTAAATCTGGGACTTTCCTACTCGTTATAACTAATTCCCTCCTGAGTGCACTTACTGGAACTCTCTGGATTTTAAATGAAACACATTACCCACAAATTCATATCCCTAATTCATTTCCCATTTATGTACTACAATTGCAAAGCCAGTTTTCCATTACCAGTGATGTGTCTGCAGAATAAGATATGAACATAATTATTTTCGTCATCTGTTAACCACTTGTCAGTTTTTAATGTGGGCTTACATGGATATTTTTAAGGAAAAATATGAAGTAAATATCATTCAGAATATGTTATTAATAAATGAAATCAACCTTTTAATTTTTTTCTGTTAGGTGGAATGCAAGACTTCAACTATATTTGGGGACAGTGCTTTGAGCTAACTGTAGAGCTTTCGTGTTGTAAAAATCCACCAGCATCTCATTTGGAGGAATATTGGCATGAGAATCAAGAATCCCTGATTAACTTCCTCAAACTTGTTCATCTTGGTATGTGCAAATTCTCATCTTCTTGGGCAACAGCAATAGTGTAGACAGCTGAGTTTATATAAGCATCAAATTTATTTTGTCATAAATTGGACAAGTTCAAAGGACCAAATCATTCCATCATTATTTAACATTCTAGCTCATTTAATTCTGTTGGTGCCGCTTTTTTCTACCTGCTTATTTTTTTTCACTGGCTCTAGTTCTGAAGAGTCACTGAATATGTCGTATGTTTGGTTAGTCCACCTAGCAACTACATGCAGCTTTACAGAAGCATGACTGATTCTAGTGAAGCCAAAATGCTTCTCTCTCTGAGTCTGTCTCTTTCTCGCAATGTAATAGAATCAATGAATCCTTACAGTGTGGAAAGAGGCCATTCAGCCCATTGAGCCTGCACCAACCCTCCAGAGAGCATCCCACCCAGATCCAGCTCCCAACCCTATCCCCATAACCCCACATTTCCCATAATCCATCTAGCTTGCACATCTCTGGACACTATAGACAATGTAGCATGGCTAATCCACCTAGCCTGCACATCTTTGGACTGTGGGAGGAAACCGGAGCAACCGGAGGAAACCCACGCAGACACGGGGAGAATGTGCAAACTCCACACAGACAGGCGCTCAAGGCTGGAATCAAACTTTGGTCCATGGCACTGTGAGGCACCAGCGGTAACCTTTGATCTACTGTGCCCCATAATCTCTTTTATCATCACAGTGTTACAGTCTTCTGATATCAACTTTTTCAAGCCCTTATACTACAGAATATTCAACCTAGATGGTATTTGTACCCAGACAAAGTAGAACTTTCTAATGGCATAGAAATGTTATAGTTGTAATCTATAATTGGACTTGTATTTACTTAAATGCCATTCATTCCTCATTATATTCTGAGGAAAGTGTCTTCTTGCTGTTCTTGTGTGGTTACAAAATGTATGTTAAACTCTCAGTTTCGAGCTTGAAACTAGTTAGATATTCTGCGTCCTCAGTAATTTTATCAAGTTGTTAACAATGAATCCACTCCCCTCCCTTTGGAAATACAAAAGCGTCACTCTTTCAACATATCTAGACCTGGACTTCCCTTTACTATCTCTTCCAGCACAATCAGTAGCAGTTAGAGTGGGGAAACTGGATGGTAAGAAAATCATCTACCATCTCCAGCCATCTTGGATATATTGACAACCTCTCCCTGCAATTTTTGGGACAACGGCCATCAATGGCCTCCTCAAAGGTCCACTGTATGTAAATTGCAATTCAGTATACATCCTGGCCTTCGTCACTGAACTCAGTGGTTTAAGGGACTATAAGAGGAAGGTGGTAATCATCCCTAGAGTAGTAATGGACTTCCCTTTTGAGACACAACAGAGGTACTCCCCAGATCAAGACCCAGAGAAAGCCTGTGGTGTTGGAGAGTGAAACTGCTCTTATTTTATAGTTTCTTCCTCTTCAGGGACTGCGACAGCACAGAATCTCCCTCTGGGAGACTTCCCTGTACAATCCATGACTGCTGACCCAGTCAAACAAATGGAAGCCACTGCAGGCTCAGGGCAGCATGCGGCAGACATTCTATCTCACTGTTTCTGTGATATTTTTAAGAAAGTCCAGACCTATGCTTCTTTCGCTGTTGGCATACAGCCGTTGAGGCTTCCAAGATATTTTCACTTCCAATTACTTTTAAATTTACAAAATTAGAACAGATGTAAAGAATAAATGTAAGTATATAGAAGAGATCGATGCAAGACTTTTAAGCTACAATACATTATTGTGAATGGGTTTTAAGATTTTTCATTGGATTTGAGGGGAGTAATTGAAAGTTGGACACAGTTCACGGTTCCAAGCACAGCACAGAATTGTGCAGGAACGCACTGCGAATGGTAGTGCCGACAGTGTTTGACCTGAGCACAGCTGGGACTTAAATTTAGTTCAAATTGCAGAAGGTCCTCGGAGCACTGAATACTTCCATTGCTGGGGAGAGCCGGATAGAGGCAGAAATCTTCATAACATTTCAGAAGTATTTAGATGTATACTTGTGATGTCAAGGCATGCAAGGCTGTGGGCTAAATGATGGAAAATGGGATTAGAATAGTTAGGTTTTTTTTTTGCTGGTGCAGACTCAATAGGACAAAGGGCTTTTTTTTTGTGCTGTGGACCTCCATAACTCTACAGTACTATGCTGTCAGTGTGTAGTGTATCCATAATAAGGTGAGCAGCAGAGACATCTCAGAGAGAAACTGTCCTTGAAATTCCCTGAACTTAGGGCTGAACTTTACCTAAAAGTGATCGTTTTATAATTATTTAATATCATTTCTGTTTATACAGGTATAAAAGGGCAAGTCCTGAACATGGATGGTACTCCCATAAAAAATGCAAGAGTAGAGATTCATGGCAGACAAAACAAGTATCCTTTTCGAACTAATGAATGGGGTGAATATTACAGACTCCTGTTACCCGGATCATATACTGTGAATGTAAGCTCAATTTATACTAATTACTTGTGTCCAGTCATATCTACCTTGCTGTATATTGTTGTATTTATTATAAATGCAGACAGGCACGCAGGCAGACAATTCAGTCTATCTTTCTATAAAGATGGGTTGCCATTCAAACAGGTAATAGGCACAGCTGGACAATGCATTTATTCTAGTTTCAGCACCAACTTTGTGCCATATGCTTTAGGATTTTAAAAATATCTGTAAATAAACTGGGTACATGAAAGGTAGAATGACCTGAACCTTTATGATACTGGAAGAGTTTTGCATTCATTGAGTGGTTTCGTATAAAAGTCTGGATGTAGTGGCATCAGGGTCTCAGAAAATCATAACCAAGATGTTTTTTAAAAGCTCCTTAAGGTCCTAAGTCCTTTTAAAGAAAAGACAGAAGATCTGATGACCTCTGTGTAGAAAACTGCAACATAGGAGGCTCTTCAGCCTGTTGTGTTCCTACTGGGTCTTTGAAACTGTCATTTCTTTGTCATTGTATTTCCAATTCAAGAAACTATGCTGACAAGGTCTGCTCTATTTACTCAGAAAGAATTAGCTGTCAATGTGCTGAGCTTCAGTGATGTGCAGTGTCTTATTTCTGGAAAACATTTACATGCACACTAGCTTGCAGCACTTTACACTGAAACATTCTTCAGTATAAAGAAGATCTTGAGATTCACTACAGTGCAATATATTTTAAAGCCTAATTTTCAACATTCAATTCAAATCAAGCAAGATTGCCTGATTGCAATTTGAACAAAACAAGGCAAATGGACTTATTTTTTAATCCATTCACGGAATCTGGGCATCACTGGCTATTTATTGCCCATCCCTAAATGCCCAGAGGGCAGTTAAGAGCCAGCTACATTGCTGTGGGTCTGGAGTCACATGTAGGCTAGACCAGGTAAAGATGGCAGTTTCCTTCCCTAAAGGACATCAGTGAACCTGACAATCAACAATGAATTCATGGTCATCATTAGACTTATAATCCCAGATTTTTATTAAATTCACAATCCACCATGTCCCATGGGGGGATTCAAAACTGTGTCCCTAGGACATTCTTTGGGTCTCTGGATTAACAATCCAGCAATAATACCACTCGGCCATCACCTCCCCAGTCTGTGCACTGTTTCTCTTGAGGATTTATCTCAGAATGGTAGAATTTTACCGTACTGAAGGAGGCCTGTCAGCCCATTGTGTTTGTACCAGCTCCCAAAAGAGCTAGTGTGTGCACTCTTTTAAGGTTACCACAGCAATGTACCATATACAAACACATGCATAGTTATAATCTGAAAAAAAAGATTTAATTTGTGGGTTGCAGCTCTTTAATGTGACTGGACACTTTGACATGACATCTGCAGACTTGTATGTGGAAGTACAGGGAATAAAATAATTGGTTGGTCCATGATGTCTTATCCAGCTTGTGTGTGCCATTAAAACACCAAAGGCTCCCATCCTCCATGGCCCCACATGTCATATAAATATTGCCATCTATAAATCATTGGTCAGACCACATTTGAAGTATATGTTCAGTTCTGGGCTCCTTATTTAAGGAAAGATGTTAAAGCCCTGGGGAGAGTTCAAAGGAGAATTACTGGCATCATACCAGGAATGAGGGATTTTAGATACAGGGGAAGTTTGGATAAATTGGAGCAGAGAAGATTAAGAGGTGATAAAACAAAACAAGGGCATGCTGGAGATTCTGAATCAAAAACAGAAATTGCTGGTGAAACTGAGTAGGTCTGGCAGCATCTGTGGGAAGAAGGCAGAGTTAACTATGGTGACCTTATTGGGTATTCAAAATTATGAACAACTTTGACAGGGTAAAGAAGAATATTCTGTTTCTACTAGTCAGTATGTCAGTAACTAAGACTCACAATTTCAAGATTATCAGCAAGAGAGCTAGGAGTGAGAACAAAAGAAACTTTGTTATGCAAGAGTTGTTAGTGAGAAGCCACATGACACTAAATTATAGTCCAAGAGGTTTATTTGAAATCACAAGCTTTCAGAGTGCAGCCCTCTCGTCAGATGAAGTGAGGAACCTGAGAAAGGGGCTCTGCTCCAAAAGATAACACAATATGGAGCTGGAGGAACACAGCAGGCCAGGCACCAGAGGAGCAGGAAAGTTGACGTTTCGGGTTGGGACTTTTCTTCAGACCTTCTTCAGGTCCCTACTATCTCTACGCTCCAAAAGCTTGTGATTTCAAATAAACTTGTTGGACTATAACCTAGTGTCATGTGACTTCTGACATTGCCCACCCCAGTCCAACAGCAGTATCTCCACATCAAGAGTTGTTAGGATTTGAATTCGTGCATGGGAGAGTGGTGGAGGTGGTTTCCATAGGAGGTTTCAAAAGAGAGCTGGATATATGTTTGAAAGTGGTGAATTTAGAGGGCTACAGAGATAGTGCTGGAGAGTAGGACTGGTAGCTCTTTTGGGAGCCTGTACAGACACGATGGGCTGAATGGTCTCCTTCTGTGCTATAAAATTCTATGATTCTATGATAATCCTGAAGAGAAAGAGAGAACAAAATGTAGAGAAATTTAGAACCAACAAAGGAATTCAAGCAAGGGTCAGACATCTATACTAAATGATGACAAGGCCTCACTATTGTCTGGGTGAAGAAATTTATCCTCATCTTGATCCTAAATGGCCTACTGTGTATCCCTGTGACCCCTGGTTCAGGACTTCACAGTCATTGGGAACATTCTTCCTGTGTTTACACTGTCTGGTCCGGTTAGAATTTTATAGGTTTCTATAAGATCCCCTTTCATTCTTCTCAACTCCAATGAATATTGTCCTAACTGATCCAGTTTCTCTTCCTATATCTTAGTCCTGCCATCCCAGGAATCAATCTGGAGTAGACCTTTGAGCAATCCCTCCCTCACCAGAACTTCCTTCCTCAAATAAGGAGACTAAAACTGCACACAATACTCCAGGTGTGGTCTCACCTAGGCCCTGTACAATTACAGCAAGACATCCCTGCTCCTGTACTCGTATCTTCTTGCTGTGAGAGCCAAGATACCATTTGCCTTTTTCATTGCTGGCATGTTTACTTTCAGCGAATAACGTACAAAGGCACTCAGATCTCATTGCATCTCCCCCTTTCTCAAACTAACACTATCCAAATAATTGCAGCAAGACATCTTTGCTTGTGTACTTGAATCCTTTCACTATGAAAGCCAGCATACCATTACCTTCTTCACCACCTGCTGCACCTGTATGCAATTCCTGTAACATAGACTGCTAGTCTTAATAGATACTGAGTAGTAAATAGCTGGCAGCCAGGATAAAATATACATACTTTTCAAATTTAATGCAGAAATCAGAAGATTTGTTACTATAAGGAAAGGTCTTTGTTTTATACAAAACTATAATTTGCCCTCACATTTCTGCTTTGATTCTTTTACTAATTATGTGTTTTTAAAATTTAACCATTCAAAACAAACTGGCACAAAGTTTTCACATTCAGTTATTGAAATTGTTCTAAGTCATGTGTTGCATAATTTACTCCATCTCAAAGGAAAGTATCGTGTTGTCGATTGTGATATAATAGAAATCAAACCGAATCTTGTAACTTTTTCTCCTCAAGGTTACCGGGCCAAAAGTTGAATCAAATGTTAAGAAGTTGCAAGTTTTGAATAACCTGGAGAATTTCTCTGCAATGGTCTTTGACTTTCACATGAACACTACTGCCAGAGACCCATCATCTTCTAATTTTGCTACACAACAAGACTTTGGCACTGCAAACGGAATACAGCAAAACATAATTTTGTTGCTCTCAATTATGATGTTCTCAGTTTTAATTTGTTAGATAATGGAGAGCGATGTTCTGATGCTATAAGTATAACCTATAACCAAATCCGGTTGCAAACAAATCTGTTGAGACTTAGTGTGACAATCAAACTAAATCAGAACTGATGACTTCTGAATGTTTATTTTAAAATAGTGGTAAGATCAACTTTAATCTAAAAGATTGAAGTTCTAGAATTATACAGTATTGTCACACATTTAGCATGTTAGTTTTGGTAAAGGCCTTTTGATCGCATTGTGACATCCTGATACTGGGGGACTTCTCAGCTACCTTAACCCAAGTACCAGTACTACAAAAGATAAAAAGAAGCAATACTCATAGCAATTCCTATATGTAACTGATTTGAGAGGTGTCACAATGAGGAGCATAAGAAATGAGCAGGTGTTGGTCCTTCAGCCCTTTCATCCATGTGTTATTCCAAAATATATTTGAAAAAACTTTGGAAACTTTACCACTTAATGTTTAAAGTCATGGTTGAGGTGCTTTGTGAACTTGGGAATGTTTAATATTTAATATTAGGCTGTTATGTTAGAAAAGAATTCATTTTACCACTGAGCACCAACTTTATTAAAGTTCTGAAGGGTTTACATTGGTTTACACAGGATTTACATTGGTTTACACAGGGTTTACATTGTGTTTACATCACAAAAACAGCCCATTTGGCACAATCATAAGATGTCGGAGCAGAAATAGGCCTTTCAGTCCATTAAGTCTGCTCTGCCATTCAAAGAGATCATGGCTGATCTGATAATCCTCAACACCACTTTCCTGCCTTTTCCCTACAACCATTGATTCCCTTGCTGATTAAAAATCTAAATCAGCTTTGAATGCACTAAGGACCCAGCCTCTACAGCACTCTATGGTAAATAATTCCACAGATTCTCTATCATCTAAGAGAATAAATTACTATCCTCTGTCTTCAAAGGGTAACCTTTATTCTGAGATTGTGCCTTATAGATATTAAACTAACATTTGCTGCGTTAGTGAAAATTAAATGAGAAGGAAAAAACATATGAAGCCTGATGTTGACCTAATGATTAGAAAGGTCACTGTGTTTGCTGAAGGAATGTGTGTGTTTAGATTAAATTCTGTACTGGGAGTGAACTGTCACAGTGACTCTGAAAGGCTTGTTTTGAAATAGAGACAGCTAAAAAGAGGTAAGCACCTTTCTAAGGAGAAACCAGAAAATCCTAAGGAGTTAAGCACAACAACACCTCTTCTTCCTCAGGAGACCAAGGAAATTCAGCATGTCCATAAGGACCCTCACCAACTTATACAGATGCACCATAGAAAGCATACTATCTGGATGCATCACAGCTTGATATGGCAACTGTTCTGCCCAGGACCGCAAGGAACTACAGAAAGTTGTGAACACAGCCCAGATCATCACACAAGCCAACCTTCCATTGTTTGACTTCATCTATACTACTTGTTGCTGCGGAAAGACAGCCAATATCATGAAAGACCCCTCCCACCCCCGTTATAATCTCTTCCAACCTCTTCTGTCAGGCAGAAGATACAAAAGTTTAAACACATGTACCAACAGGTTCAAGAACAGCTTTCTCCCTGCTGTTATGAGACTTCTGATTGGACCTCTCAAATTTCAAATCTAATGTTGATCTTGATTTTTGTGCACCTTCTTTGCAGGCGTAACTTTGTATTCCTCACTCTGTTCGATCACCCTATGATCTTTCTGTCTTTGTATGTTGATCTGCTGTACTGCATGCAAATCAAAACTTTTCACTGTACCTGGGTACATGTGACAATAATAAATCAAATCAAATCAGTTGATCAAACCAGCTATGGAAAAATGACATATCTGGGATGTTTGCCAGTGGTCAAACTGAGCAGTGACCTGGAGTCTGGATGGTGTCAAAGTTTGAATGCACAGCCAAATTTGTAATGAAGAAGGATATAAGAAAGCTAACGCAAAAGATCATGTAATCAGTCCTGGAGGTGGGGATGGAGCAGGATGATCATCTGTTCTTGGTCTGATCCTCTGCTAAGTCCATGTAAATGTGATTGTAAGCATTGTATGGGTAAGAGTGTTGGAGTATTTTTGTAATGTACTTTGCTTTAATAAAGAATATTGTGTAGACCTCATTGTTAGAAATGCCTTGTGTTATTGATATTCAGAGTAAATCCAATGGACCACGGAAAGTGGGAATAAAAGCCTACACCGTCTGGTCCTAGACTCTCCCACAAGCAGAAACAGCATCTCTGTATCTGTCAAACCCTGAAGAATCTTGTGTGTTTCAATAAGACCACTTCTCATTGTTCTTAACTCCAATGAGTACAGGCCCACCTTACTCACTCTCTCCTCATTAAACAGTCCCTCCAAACCTAGGATCAGCTGAGTGAACCTCATCTGGAATACTTCCAATGCCAGCCTATCTTTCCTTCGATAAGGGACCCACATATATTCACAGTCTCGAGGTCTCTAGTCTACTCTAGCACTCATGCTCCACATGAGTTTTCTCTCATTCTACTTCAAAAAATTTTATCAGCATAATCTTGTATTTCTTTCATCCTCATGTACTAATGCAGATTTCCCTTTAAATATATAAGTTCTACTATCTACTATTATTTAAGGTTGCTCTTGTACTCCTTTTTGAATTTATTAGTAATGATTTTGAATTTCTGAACTCGTTTTCGATTCTCCATATCTCAGATTCTCCAGCATCTGCAGTTCCTACTATCTCTAGTTTTAGACTGCTTGTTTGAAACAACTTCTCTATGCCTACTGTATTAAACCTTTTCCCTTGAGTTAACCCATCAGAATCTTAATTTTTTCATTTTTTCCTTACAATGTATCCTCCCAGTTCAGATATCCTCCTTGTAAATGTTTTGTGCACATTTCCCTGTTTCTCTATAACATAGGAACATGGAGGAGTAGGCCATTCAGCCCCTCGAGCCTGCTCCACCATTTAATAAAGCAGTGGCTGATCTGATTATCACCATAAATCCACATTCTAGCCTGCCCCCAATAACTTTTCACCCCTTCACTAAACTTGAACCTATCTACCTCTGCCTTAAAAATATCCAAAGTCTTGGCTTCCATCAGTTTTTTGGGAAGAGAGTTCCAAAACCTCATGATTCTCTGTGAGAATGTGGAGACCAGTACAGTGCACAGTCTGTAAACTGTGCCCTTACAAAGATTCCTGCCTAATGGTAGAAAGATTGCAGTGTGAGGAAGAATTTTATTGTGTAGATAAATAGTTTCCTTCTACCTTTATACTTAGGATGTGGTTGACCATAATCCCAAGATTGACTAGTCCCATCTGCCAAAAGAACTGCAGATGCTGTAAATCAGGAACAAAAACAAAGTTGCTGGAAAAGCTCAGTTCTGAGGAAGGGTCACCGGACCCGAAACGTTAACTCTGTTTTCTCCTCCACAGATGCTGCCAGACCTGCTGAGCTTTTCCAGCAACTTTGTTTTAGTCCCATCTGCCTGTGCTTGGCCCACATCCCTCCAAACATTTCTAATTCATGTACTTATCCAAATGTCTTTTAAACGTTGTAACTATAGCCAAATCAACCACTTCCTCTGGAAGTTCATTCCACATACAAATCACTCTGTGTAAAAAAAAAAATGCCCCTCATGTCTTTTTAAAATCTTTCTCCTCTCACCTTAAAAATATGCCCCCGTCTTGAAATCCCCCACCCTAGGGAAAAGACACCTTATCTCTACCCCTCATTATTTTATAAGCCTCTATGAAGTCAGCTCTCAACCTCCTACACTCCACTGACAGAAGTCCCAGCCTATCCATTCTCTCCTATTTTTGTTTCTGAGCCAGGAGACTTGGGTTTATGTTCTAAGATAACAAGGTGTAGAGCTGGATGAACACAGGAGGTCAGGCTACCTGCTCCAGACATGTGCACTAACACCTCTGAACAGATTAATTAGAAAATATATAGAGGGTCAGTGAGAGCTCTTGTGGTGCCATGGTAATGTTCCTATCCTTGAACCAAGAGACTGAGGTTCTATCTGCTTGTGACATGTATTATAACATTTCTGAACGGGTTGTTTACAGAGGGTTAACACAATATCTTTAATTCCAGTTGCTCTTTCTACAGTTTAACAAAATTAACTTTACTGCTCTGTGCTGGGATGAAACACCACAAAAGGCAAAAGGAATATATTTGCTTTGTAGAGGATGTTGCATCCACATCAGCATCAAGCCCAAAATGATAGTTTTTTTTGGGTACAAATATTCTCAATTGTTGGGCTATAGATTTTTCTGGACTGATCACCGTTGTGTTAAATAATTAGATTAAAGGCTAGTAAATTTAAACATTACCACAACTAGTTTAAACCTGGAAGGTGTAAGGGGATAAATTTGACTGTTGTAAGTATTAGGAAGAGAACAATTAGTCTGGGGATTTTCACTCCAGAAAGTTTGTAGCCTCTGTTCAATGTATTCTTAAAAATTTCTTATCACCTACAATGACTGCAAGTTTCAAATTCAGCATGCCTTCCAGAATACTTCACTCAATCTAAGGATAACATGGAAGAATTAGGACCAGTCTGTTTGTGACTCCATTTCGGACATATGGAGAAAGTGGAAAGGGCGAGAAAGTTGTCTTACTTGGCCTGTTTCAGCTATTGGCAGTTCTTAATATGAGGAGATTAAGAATGGTTACATTATTTTTAAAAGTCTTGAAACTACAATGGATATTTATAAAACTCAGTTATACTACACTGACTATATTTACATAAGTAGAACCCAATCACTGTGGGCAGGGAACAAGTTTTTTAAATTCTCTTGCACTGCCATCAAATCAGTGAAAACTATAGCTGTGTATGTGATTCAGAGAGAGTAGGAACTGCCGATGCTGGAGAATCTGAGGTAACAAGGTGTAGAGCTGGATGAACACAGCAGGCCAAGCAGCATCAGAGGAGTAGGAAAGCTGACGTTTCAGGTCTTTCCAGACGGGAAACTGGAGCACCCGGAGGAAACCCATGCAGACACGGGGAGAATGTGCAAACTCCACACAGATAGTTGCCTGAGGGTGGAATCAAACGCAGGTCCCTGGCGCTGTAAGGCAGCAGTGCTAACCACTGAGCCACCATGCAACCCAATTAACCTGAATGTGCACAATAAAAAGCAGGTTAGCAGTCTTCAGGTAAAAGTGACAGTTAGAGCCAGACTGAGCAATTTTACCAAAGTTTACAGACTTTCATTATAGCATATGCAACACCTGCTCCCCCACTTCTGCAATTAGATCTTTGGCTTCCTGACCCACAGACTGCAATTAGTAAGGATAGATGACAACACTGGTACCCCGCAAAGCTGAGTACTCAGCCCCTTACGATACTCCATATAAGGCTGTGTGTTAATTCCGCTCGAACTCCCTTTATAAATTTGCTGATGGCATCACCATAGTGGATCAGATCCCAAACAACGATGAGACAAAGTACAGGAAAGAGACAGACAGCTTAGCGGCATGGTGTAAAGACAACAATCTCTCCATCAAGGTGTAGAGCTGGATGAACACAGCAGGCCAAGCAGCATCAGAGGAGCAGGAAGGCTGACGTTTTGGGCCTAGACCCTTCCGAAATGGGGGAGGGGGAGGGGGTTCTGAAATAAATAGGGTTGGGGAGGAGGCGGATAGAAGATGGATAGAGGAGAAGATAGGTGGAGA